AAATCACACTAATACTCGCAGATACTGTTTATTAAGTGTCTGCTCTGTAGCAGGCACTTTCTGTATATTATCCCATTTAATCCTGGGAGGCAGGTTTTATCCACCCATTTTGTAAACGACAAAACAAGCTCAGAGAGACTAATTTGTTCAAGATCACATGGCTGGCGGCGGGGGCTGGAGGAGTGAGGGAGGAGGTGGGCTGAGAGGCGAACCCAGGCACTCTGGCTTTTCGGCCAGTGCCCACGTTTCTGAGCCACCCTCAGCCAGGGCTCCCGTGCTTGAAGCAGAGGGGCGGCCTGTGGGCGGGGAGGCAGGAAATGCCGGCTGAGAGTGGGCAGTGGGACTCTTCCAGGCTGGGCTGCCCTCCTGTCCCCCCCGGGAAGTCAAGAGAGGACTGGGGACAGGGGAGTGATAAGCAGCCGAGGCCCCGGTGCGAAGAAAGATGGGGGTCAGGAGGGGAGCAGGCCCGGGTGACGGGTGGGGGGGGGGAGGGCGGGGAAGGTGCAAGCTCTAACCAGGGCCGGACCTTCAACTGTCTGTACGACTTCAAGCACCGGCTCACCCTCTGGGCATCCAGATGGTTGCTAATGTTTCCTCTCACTCTTTTATTGGAGGACTTTGGGGTTGGGGGTGGCAGGTCACTTCTGCACTTTCCTCCTTCTTGGAAGGATGGAACGAGCACAGGTCCCTTCATGGGCTCCAGACCCTTAATCGGAGGGGCCCCAGGCCAGGTGGTGGGCAATAGGAACCCGTGCTCCGCTGAGAGCAGGCCAGAAGCCGAGGTAGGAGCAGGGCAGAAGCCTTTCTGCTCCAGCCACCTCAGCTAGTGGGTCACCTGGTCTCTCGTTGCCTTAGAGCCGCAAGGATCTGGGGGACCTGCAGTGGGAGAACGGGCACCTGTGAGCCCACGGCGCGCTCAGGGAGGCCTGGCGCTGGGCACTGGGTTGGTCAGGGGTCAGGACTTGGGAAGGCAGCAGGCTGGCTGTGCAGTTCTGGAGAGGGCTTTATCAGGGGGAAGACAAGCTGTGGCCACTCCATGCCCGTGAGACACAAGGGTCTGGGCTGAGTTCTTGAAGCAGAGGAATAACTGGCAAAATATCCAGGGCATGAGCGTCAGGGAGGCTCAGCTGGGTCCGGGCAGGTGCCTCCTTTCCAGCAACAAGGCCATGGGGGAGTCATTTACACTCAGAGCCTTAGGTTCCTCTGCTGAAAGGTGAAGGTAACAACGCCCACCTTGAAGGGTCAGCAAGGGAATAAAGTGAGAGGGTACCAATAAGGAGTTTTGGATGGAGCCTGCCACAGGGTAGGCATCGCCTGGGGGCTCCTGTTATTGTTGTTGCTGCTGTTAATAATAATAACAAATAGGCATCCTGGACAAGGGGACAACGGAGTGGGGGCCTGGGAGGCTGTGTGACTCCCGTCGCCTCTCGGTAAGAGCAGGGGTGGCACCAGCTGATCTCAAGGCCCCTTCCTGCTCTGACAGCCTCTGGGCTATGAATAGATGGGGCTGGGGCCCCGGAGGAGTTTAATGACTCAACAGCAGAGAGAGGATAAGCTTCCCAGAAAAGAGTTTCCGTTTGCATTTGATGAACTTAGGGCCCAACAAAGGAAGGGTTTCCTGGCTGGGAGGCCAGAGATGAGGGAGCTGAGGAATCCTTGCAGCCGGCAGAGACTGTGACTAACCAGGTGAATGACTAACGCGGACCCTGCTGACCCGCAACCAATCAAGGCTGCCCGTGGGTGTCCTGCAAGCTGGCACCACTGAGCACATCTTGGTCATGCCAACAATCCCGGCTGGCTCGGGGCGTCACAGCATATGGAGGCAGAGGACGCAGCGAGAGACCAGCAGGGAAAAGAGCACTAGGCCTGGAGTCGGAAGACCCAGCTTCTTGCTCTACCTCCGCTGCTCACCAGCAGCATTACAGTGGGGAAGCCCCTCCCCCTCCCCGGGCCTCCACGCCTTCATCTGTGCAATGAGCTAAGCACGCCTGCCCTGGAAACGCCCCTGAGCTGTGAAGGCTGGGGCTCGAGACCTGAGATGAAGGGGCACTGGGATCATTAAGGTCCTGAATGAAGGAGAGCTTCTGTCACTATTCTACCCCGATGGGATTACTGGTGCCTCAGGAGACCCGTTAGGGTCCCCAAAGGGAGCAGGTGGAGAGAGGCTGCTGCCTGTGGGTGTTGGGTCAAGATCACTCTAACAGAGGTCCCCTTCCAGCTGTCTGATCACAGCCCAGACAGGTTTTCCTTAGGGCAGAGCTGTCGACAGCTCCCAGCCGGGCAGCACAGCCAGAGCGAAAGGCGACAAAAAGCCAGCGATGGCTGAGTGAGTCAGGGAGTGGGCAGTGCCAGTCTGGGGGCCCCACGGAACAAGGGTGGCGCTTCGCTGCTGTCTTTCCCCATGCCCGCACTTTGTAAATAAATAATCACCAGAACCACACTCTGTCGGCCTCTCCCTCTGTCTGTCAGCTTTCAGCATCTCTCCTGGTGAGGGCTGTGAGCGCTTTGGGAAGCGGCAGGGACGCAGGGAAAAGACCATGCCCTTTCACTTCCGTACAGCTTAAACCCATCGGTAGCCTCCTGCGAGGGCTCAGCTGTGCCCCTGGGTACTGTGCCAGTCCGGGGAGCACGGAAATGGGCGCCACGGGGCCCTGCCCACGTGGAGGTTAATTACAGTGCGGTTGAAGAGAGGAAACACACCCCCTTAAATGTCAATAACCATGCACAAGAGCCTCTACCGTCACCCAGGTCATCCTGACAGTAAGCCTTGTGGTTATGCAGAGCAGAACACTGGCTTGGGATGTTCTGGGAGCGTTTAAGGAGGATGTGGGGTTTGAGCTGGACCTGCAAGTTTAGCCTGGACAAGGGGAACAGCAGAGAGAGGAACAGGCGTGTCAGACAGGCACGCTTATGGCGTTCTCAGGGGACAGTCTGGCTGCAGCGGAGGGACAGGTCAGCGAGAAGCGAGAAATGCAGTTGGGCACAGAGACTGGAGCCAGGTATAAAGGCCCTTACATTCTGAGATCGGGAGAGCGTGGACCAGATTCCACGCATAGGGGGAGCCCTCGAGGGCTTCTGAGTAGGGTACTGCTACGGTCAGGGCTCTGCTTTGGGGAGGTTCTTTCTGGCGGTGTTGTCCGGGGTGAGGGGGTGGAATGAGACCGGAGGCAGGAAGGTGAACTGGGGGATGACTGGGGAGCAGAGAACAGTGGGACTGAGCAAAAAGGGGGCACATAAGCAAGGGTATGATGTGTGGGAAGAGGGAGAGGGAAGGCCTGAGGACGTTCAGTGCTGCTAAAACCCTGGCAGGTGGCAGTGTGGCATGCGAAGGGAGCAGACCCCCGGTCTGGTCCTTCCTGGGAAAGTGAGCTGCTTGATTTGGGGGCAGGCCCAGGTGTGATTATCCTGCTTTAACCTCACGGGGTCAGCAGAACCTGGAGGTGCCCCTACTTGGGCCACCCACTTGCGGCCCCTTTTTTCCCTTTTCCAAGAGAAGAGCCCAGAAACCACACAGCAGAGCTCCACGTGGCCCTGAGAGCCGCAGAGCCTCGGCACAGGGCCCTGCAGTGGGGAGACTGCAGGGCCCGTGTGTAGTCCTGCCTTTTACCCTCTCCACTCCTGTTGACTCCCAGGAAAACACTGCCATCTTGTCACGGGCGATGCCAAGTGGCAACGAGCCCCTGGGAGCTCAGCCAAGGCAAGGAGGGGACCGGGGAGAGGAGAGGGAACGGGAAAGATGGAGGACACAGCTCCTGGAGGCATCCCAGTGGGGTCTGGGGAGAGGTGAACTGGGAGCGCGTCAGGACTGGGAGGAGCCCTTGAGATCATCCCAGCCAACCTCTGGCTGTCGGGAGGGGAAGCCCGAGACCCGGGCAGGGGCTGGGACTTGCCCAAGGTCACACAGCGGGAGAAGTGATGGAGCTGGGCTGGAATCCGGGTCTCAGGAGCCGGTAAGGTGTTTGCTCCGGCCTGGACACTTTTGAACAGCACCACAAGGGCCTCACTGGAGACATCTTTCCTGGACATCTGTTTGTGTGCTACGTGTCTGTGCCTGTGTGTGCACCCATTCCTGAGTTGTGAATCCGGGTGTGTGTGTGTGTGTGTGTGCCTTCCGATGCCTGCTGTTGGCCTTGGCTTGGGGAAGAGAACTGGGGCCATTCCTGGGAGGTGACTGTTTTCCTGGGACAGCAAAGTGGGCGGACAAGGCTGGATCTGGCTTCCTGCACCACCTTTGTTACCCCAACGACATTAAAGGCACTGGCTGGTGGTGCCCAAACTCTGGGAACTGGACACACACACACACACACACACACACACACACACACACTAAGAGGCACTTACAGCCTGCAGTTACAGGGTGTTTCAAGCGCCCAGAGTGGCCCAGAGTGCCGAGTACCTGCATCCACGGGTCTCCCTGGAGCCCCGCGGCTCCGGGTGTGGAAGCCCCTCTGCAGGGACCCGGAGGAGTGCAGCACTCCCGGCGGCTCCCTCCGAGCGCCCTGCTCCACGGCCTGGCCGGGCCACACCCCTCCTCCCCAGCCTCCGCCGGTCGCTCCTGCCCCTCTCACACACTTCAGAGTCCCCCGGGGCCCCGCGCAGCCTGGCAGGAACAAGTTGGGGCTGGCCCGGCTGGAGAGTCAGGGCGGGAGCCAGGAATCGACGCCTCCCCTGAGTCCCGTTCCCGCGGAGCAGACACGCCAGGCTGAACTCGGGCTTCTGGGCGCGCGGGGTTCGGCGCCTAGACCCTCTCCCGGGGAAGCCCCCCTCCCGGGACAGCCCCTCCCGGGTCGGCCCCGGACTACCAGCCCCAGGGTCCCCGCCCCCTGCCCCCCGCCGGCGAGTAGTTACCGATGGTGGTGATGACGGTGATGGCGAAGTAGAAGGAGCCGGCGAAGCGCCACTGCACGCCGGCCTTGTGCGGCTTGAGGAGCAGCACGACGCGCTCCAGCTCCTCGTAGCCGCCCTGGCTGAGGTTGTAGCGCGCCCGCAGCTCCTGCTGCCGCAGCTCCAGCCGCTGCCGCTCCATCATCTCGGGCTCCGACTCGAGCGCGTCGAAGACCGCGGCGCCCACCAGCAGGTAGGTGAAGGTGCACACGATGAGCGCCAGCGTGCGCACGTTCTGCCGCTTCATCGTCCCGCCCGGGCCGCCGCCGGCCCCCCGGCGCCCCCGGCCCGCGCCCCGGCCTCGGCCGCCGCTGCTGCTGCCCCGTAGGCGGCCTGGGGCATGGCTGCGCTCGCCGCTCCCCGCGCCGGGCACCCGCTCCGCGCCCCGGGGCCGCCGCCGCCAACGGCGCCGCCGCCGCGGAGCTGTCCCTTCAGCACCACCCACCGCCCTCCTCCGCCCGGCCCCGCTCCCGCCCTCCGCCCCCCGCCCGCAGGCCGCCTCCTCCCGCCAGCCCTCCCGCCCAGCCAAATAAGGACTGGGGAGACGCGCCGAGGGAGGGAGGGGAGGGGGGCCGGCGGAGGGGGAGGGGGCGGGGAGCCAGCCGGGCCGCGGAGAGAGCAGGCAGGACGGAGAGAGACACCCAGAGAACCGGAGAACTGGGCAGGGAAACGCAGGCAACTACCGAGGGAGAGAGGGAGAGAAAGAGGCGGAGGGGGTGTGACGGACTCGGAGATAAAACCCGAGGTAGACTCACAGACACAGAGGAGGAAGAGGCAAGCAGAAAAACACCGAGGGAGAGAGGCAGAGAGCGGCAGACCGTGACAGCGAGACCTGGAGAGCTGGAGATAAACGGATAACACAGCAACGGGAAAGCTAGGGGAGGAAAGGCAGAGCGAGCGCCCACCCCTCCCCTCCCCTCCCCTCCCCTCCCCTCCCCAGAAATCACAGATGCTGTGGCTGGAAGGGACCTTGGGCCTTGCTTCTGCCATTTGTTATGAGGATGAGGAAACTGAGGCACAGAGAGGTCAAGGGGCACGCGAAGGCACACAGTGAGTGAGTCCCAGCGCCCAGACTGAGCTAAGCTTTCCCCACTCCAGACCACAGCCCCTCCTCTGCGCCAGGCTGCCGGCTCTCTCAGGAACAGGAGGGCACAGCTGTGGACCCGGGCACCTGTGGGCCGACACCCAAGGGACAACCCTGCTCTCATAAAACGTGTCCCTTCCCAGGGGAGCATGGCTCCCGGGATTGGCTGAGAAAGCGCAGACGGTAGCCCAGGCCAGGAGCACCCAGTCCCAGGGCCTCCTGCTCTGCTGCCCACGGCCTGTCGGGCTCTTCGGACTCATTCGGGGCCCCTGTCCGGCACCAGCAGGCCAGCCTGGGCTTGGGCTTCCAGGACAACGCTGACACCAGCACGGGGCGCCCTCGCAGAAGGGATATCTCTGTGAAATAGGGCAGGCGGGGCCCAGATCTGGAGGCTTGCCGACAGAACCGACAGAATCGGGAGGCCTCCCTGTGCCTCAGTTTCTTCATTTGTCGACATGGTGGCAGTGGAGGTGAGGCGGGGCAGGCTGTGGGACCACAGGCGAGGCGTCACTGCCCCTCTCAGAGTCTCGCTTCCTTATCTCCTGGATGAGGTGCCGTGGCAGCTGATTCCACAGGCCTTGCTTAGCTGCAAACAGCTCCGGACTTGGATGGGCTCAGTGAGCAGAATGACTGGAATGCAAAGCCCACTGCCAAGGAGGGTCAAAAGTCTTCCATGGGACCCTGGCACGGGCCACGAGGAGAGACATGAAAGAGGTCCCAAGGCCCCCGACCCAGGGGAGGCCCAGGAGGCAGCCAGCTGGGGCGGGGACACCATCTGCCCACAGCTTGGGCTGGCCCGCCGCTGCCGGACGCTACACGGCTTTTCCTGGGAGGGCCACCAGCCCGTTCTTTCCTTCGACAAGTGTGTATCAAGCATCTGCTGCGTGTCAGGCTAGGTGTGTTATCACATTCACTATCTCTGGTCCTTTCCACAACCCTGACATGGTTACGTCCATTTTATAGATGGGGAAACTGAGGCTAAAGGCAGTGCGGAGAATCAGCCAAGACCATTCAGCTGGGAAGGGACTTCAGCCCGCCTCCTGAGCCCACACTCTTCTCCGTCATGAGTCCTTGAGGCTCAGTTTGTAAAGACCTGGAAGAGGATAGGTAGCCGTGCTCGCTTCCTGATTGGAAGGCCACACGTGTGCAGATCAGGCGATATGGGCTCTGTGGCATCTCCTTTCCCCAGGACTCAGGTCTCTCATCCACCTCGCCTCTCCCCATCCCATTGGCACTCCCTTCCCTGCAAGATCTTCAATTCTTTGACGACACAAACTTTCTGGCCCTGCCCCTTTGACCATGAGCCCAGCCCACTGACAGCCTTCCCCATTGGCATCTGCTGGCTTTCTCGCAGAGAAACGCTGCCTTTCTTGGCTCCCAGGGGCAGGGGTACACGTGGGGTTCTATGCTCCTGGCCACAACCCGCCCAGAAGCCGGTCTAGAGGAGCCCGGTGGTTGGCCAGACCTGGCTTTCGGTGTGGAAGGCCGTGTGTTGAGGGGCTGTTTGCTTCTGGCCACCAGGACAGGCTGCTGTGCAGATGAAAGGCGATATGGTGAGTGTAAATGCTTCAGAAAAGGGAAAAGGCTGTCTTCAGGGGCAGGACATTTATTATTCATCATGAAGAAGCTTGTTCTCACAGCACGTCAGCATGGGAAGGACCTCCAGAGACTGTCTAGCCTAACCCTCTCAGGTTACAGATGAGGAAACCGAGGCCTGGAAAGTAGGAAGGGTCCTGCCCCATGGTCGGGGGTCTTTCCTGTAGCCTCCATTATGTGTGGGATTAGGATGCCTGACAGTGGGGGCAAGGCAGCGCACCCCCAGTGCACCTGGAGCCCCGGAGGGCAGCCCGGGTCTTCTCCTCCTGCCCCTCCTCCCCCTTTCTCCTAAAGTGGGGGCACGGGTGGGGGATTCAAGCTGGTGCCCATATAAGCTTCTTAGTAGCCTTCGGGACCTTTAGTCAAGAGCCCCATCAGCCCGCCCTCGACCTGGGCAGGGGGACTGTGCCAAAGACCTCCCAGTCTTTCAACCACAAACCCTTTCAACCAAGATTCCTAGGTCCTGCCCACACCTGACGGGCATGCCCCACCCCCTTCCAGGGCCAAGGGTCAGAGAGCACCTCCATCAACCTTGTCTGTTATACACGAGAAAGACTGCTCAGCTTCACGTTTCCACGATCTTTTTCTTTTTATTCCTCTCCATTCCATTGGTGACTTAAGTGGAGGACGCTTTGGGCCAATCAGAGATTTTTTTTACATCTCTCAAATTACGATATCGGTCCGCCTTCTGCGTGATGACTTCCTGAAGCCCTGGGCAGGAAGAACAGAGTGGAGGGTGGGGCAGCCTGGGCTGGGTGCTGTGGGGCTGTGGGACTTGGGGCCAGTCCCTCTCTCTCCCTCGAGTTGCACACCCAGAATGGAAGTGTGCACACCCACAAGCGGAGGTGTGCACACCCACAGCGGAGGGGTCAGGGGCAGCACACGTCTGTGCTCCCTTCATTTGTAACACCCCGTGACCCTCCCGGCCTGCTTCTGCCTCCCTAGTTCTTCCAAGAATAAGGGGACAGGAGGTTGCTACTCACTGCTTTTAAGGCTTTAGTTAGTGAGGAGAAAGATGCAGTGAGAGTTATGATAAATGATACGCAAATTAATTAGAATTTGTTGTTGCATGTTGTTATGCACACATTATTTTCCAGCTTTATCTTTCACTCCCTCCCTTTCTAAGCTCTAGGCACGTCCAAGTACTTTCACATTCCCCTCCCGGCTCCCGTGGCTCCCATAACCTGGGGTGCGGGCTCCTCCGTTTTCTGTCTGTTGAACTCCTATTCGGGCTTCAAGACCCAGCTCAGAGGCCACTTCCTTCACGAAGCATTCCCTAGTTGCCGTCTGTCAAAACTACTGGCTTCATTGTGCTTCCAAGGCACCCTGTCTAAACTTCAATTCACTAGTTACTTCCCCTGCGTAGGAGACTAGTCAGCTCGTTAACATGTGCCTCCTGCACCGGCTCATTGTCTTCTCCGGGGTGGAGGCCCTCCTTACTTGCCCTGTGCCTTCCGCAGTGGGGAGCCCGGTGTTTTGCATGTCAGAGTTGCTCTGCGTGTTTTCTTGTGCACTCAGTAGCATCCTTCCTACACCTGCTGGGCTAGAGACCAGCAGTGTCAGCAGGGAGAGGGGCACAGACGGTGGCGTCCACAGGCAGAAAACCCCAGCAACCTGCTGCTGTGAGTCTTTGCAGACAGACACTTCTAAAGCTGCCACTGGCCTGGACCGGTTTAGGGGAAGGGGATAAAGACAGATGTGAGGGTCCGAAGGCCGGAGGAAGCCCGTGGAGACTGCACTGGACTGGGAGCCCAGGGCCCTGGGGCTTGGCTTCAGGGCCGCCACCGACTACCTACTCCCTGCAGGGACTTGAAAGAGCCACACAGCCTCTCTGTGGCTCAGTGTCCTTTTCTGCAGAAGAAAGGGTTGACTATCTCAAAAGGTCTCTTTTTGCTCTGATGTTCTGTGATGGTAATGACAGGCCTGGCCCTGGGAGCAGCAATGGCCGAGAATGTGATCTGAAGGATGAGGGGCCCAGAGCCCTCTCTGTCTATTGCTCTGAAGCCCCTCTTTGTCGGCCAGTTCAGCTGGAGGGTGGGGGCAGGGGGCAGAGAGGTAGGGAGTGAAAGAGTTCACCCTACGTTAGATAGCTGAGTCCACATTCTGACTCCATCAGTTACAGCTGGAATGCAGCCCCACATGGAATTCTGGTCCACCCTGTCCAGACCAGACCATACTGGGCAGGGAAGGGGCCTTACTCATCCCTGTGCCCCTCAACTCTCGGTACAACACCTGATTCAAAAAGGCACTCTGTAAAAACCCTGCACCCACTCCAGTGGGCCTGTCTGGGCTAGGCGGGTTGGCAGGGCTTGGGGCCCATGGTTTGCTGGAGGAAAGAATGTTCAGAGTCATCTCAACATCAAGCCAGGGGCAGGCTGGAGACGGGAAGGGGCCCTGCAGGCCCAGGAGCTGCAGCAGAAAGACAGGGGAGCAGCTGACGCCAAGAGCTGCACCAGGGCCCCGGAGGGCAAGTTGATGGAAGTCAGGGTGCTCTGGGTGTGACTGAGGTGTTTCTTGGTGTATCTCTGTAGGGAGAGAGACACGGAGGATTAGCCTGCGTTTACAGAGCAGAACTGGTCCCAGTGCAGCCGGCTTGCGTTTGTCAAGAGACACTATTTGTTTAATTTCTCAAGCCCAAACCAAACACGAAAGTCAGCTGTTCACAAAGGAGAGGCTCTGGGAGCTGTTGGGGAGACAGCAGCGTGCTAGGAGGCAGACACCTGGCTCTGTTCTCAGTCCTGCCCCACGTGAGCGGTGGCCAGCTCAGGATGCAGACTCAAGTGTCCTAGTGCTGAGGGCGGGGGCCAGGCTGTCTTCATGGAGCTGCTGTGGGGGTCAAGTTCACTCTCCTCATTAGCAGAAAGCCTTAGTCCAAAGTCAGCACCCACTGCCTTTGACAAATCCCTTCCCCTAGAGAGGGCTCCCTCAGCAGGCTCCTCTGGTTCTGAACCCCACGCCGAGATGAGCGTCCTGGGGTGTGCGGCCTCAGGGACTGAAGGGAGTTTGCACTGGGACACACACCCGGAAGTGTCACAGTGCTTCTGCCCCACTGCGTGTCCAGGCCTCACGTCTTACTGGGCCAGAGTGGGGGGCTCAAGTCCAGCTAATGTGACTCCCAGACCTTCGCTACTAGATACGTTCCCTAAATTCACCCCCTTCCCATTGCAGAAATGACTTACCAGTCTCTTCAGCCTGTCCTCTGCCGAGATGCTGGAGCAGCCATGGCTTGTCTTCCCTGACAGACAAGCGTGCTGCTGCTAAGGAAGAAATGAACCCGGAGATCTAGTCCGCAGCCTCACAAATCTTGAAATCCTTCTTTGCAGGTTTATGGCTTCTGAGAATTGAGCAAAGGCAGCCTGTTCTCAGCACTAAACACAATAATTATAATAGCACTTGCGATGATTAATCAGCCAGTGAGTATCGAGTGGTCCCCGGGAGTGCTCACAGCATTGTGTGTGCGCGTGTGTGTGTGCGTGCATGTGTGTGTGCGCCCGGGTAGGGGAGAGGGCATGAGAGGTGACTTCACTCCTGGTGAGTTGTAGGTGTCTTTCCCTCGGTGGAGCAGCTGGCTTGCCACCGAGGCTCTCCTTGGGGAGTGTCCTGTTCCAGCTGTCGCTGCACTTCTTTCTGCTGGCAGAGGAATCCTGACCCCCAGGGTGCTCACTGCAGGGCTCCTGGCCATGCTGGGTCTGGAGAGGAATTGACAGCAGAAGCAGGCCCCAGGCCCATCGGCCAGATTAACGAGGGTCTCACCGGCATGATGTATGTGGTACAACCGAAGGAACTTGGGATACTGTGTCTGCAGAAAAGATACAGGGGACATGTCTGCTGTCACATGCAAGAAGGATTAGCTTTGCTCTGGGTGGCCTAGGAGGGGGCCAGTGATCTGCGAGGAGATGCTGCAGTGAAAGAGCTCACAGCCCCAGAGAGACGGAATATTCTCTAAGCCTCCGAAGAAGGAATGGGCTGCCCAGGCTGTAACGAGCTTCTGGCCCATGGAAGTATGCAAGCATAGCTTCACTAGCCCTTTAGGACCCCAGGGGCCTTTTAGGAGGATCCAAGGAGCTAGTATAGTTCTTAGCACATAGTAGGTCTGCCAGAAATGCCTTTGGACTTGATTGCTGAATGTGCTGAATTTGGGGCTGGACTAGATGCCCCTTGTGGTTCAGTTGGACTCAGTTTGAGATTTATGGAGCGGTCCCTCTGTGCCAGGCTCTCTGGCCCTGCAACCGTGAAGCACTGTAATTCCCTGGCCTCAGGGGGGGCTATCACTGAAGTTCTTGCTGAGCTTTCTTCCAGCTTCTCCTCTCTTGCCCAATACCCCGCGCCCCCTCCACATGTACCAGACACCCCGCTGTCTGCAGAGGCCCCACGCTCACAGGTTGGAGTAAAGGCCTGGAGGCCAGAGGACTCCAGCACGGGAAATGGGCCTCTGGCAGGCTAATTACTGGGAGCTGATTCTATTAGGCAGATAGCTCGCTCTAGGCAAAGCAATTACATCTAATCAGCCCCTTGCAGTTTGAGCCAGACACATGTGTGAGTAGGAGCATCAGAGCAGCCTGAGGCTCAGGGGCGGGCAGGTGGGCAGGTGGGCAGGGACCATGGCTCAGAAAATGGTCCCTGGCGCCTTCCCCAGGCTGCCCGGACCCAGGCCACAGTGGGGCCGCAGAACTGTGCAGGCAGCACTGAGTGTGGACTCAGAGACCTGGGCTGAAACTTGGCTCTGCCACTAAGAAGCTGAATTTCACTGGGGAGAGCACTGCTCTGACCTAAGCCTCAGTTTCCCTGTCTGTCAAGTGGGTAGGGTGGACCGGAGGGATCCATTCCCAGTTTGAAACTGCAGTCCATGTCCATCTCAATAATGTATTGTATACTTAAAAACTTCCCAAGAGGGAGGATCTTGGGTAGTCTAATAATAATAATAATAAATACATATGATCTCACCTTTAGCAGGAACCTAAACAACAAAACAAACAAACAAGCAAAATATAACCAAAGACACTGAAATAGAGAACAGGCTGACAGTGAGCAGAGGGGAGAGGAGAGGGAATTTCAGGGGAAAAGGGGAAGGGTTTACAGGAACAAGCGTAAAGGACACATGGACAAAAACTAGGGGCGGGTGGAAATGGAAGGGAGGTGGGGAGGCCTGGAGGGGGCGGGCAGGGATGGGAGTAAAAGATAGAAAACTGTACTTGAACAACGATTAAAATGAAATTAAAAATAATAATAATAAATCCAGAAGGTGGAAGGAAATTTCTAGAGGTGATGGATATGTTTACGGCATGGATTTTGGTGATGGTTTCACAGATGTATACTCATCTCCAAACGCATCAAGTTGTACACATTAGATATGCGCAGCTTTTGGCATGTCAATCACACCTCGATAAGTGGTTTTTAAAAACCAAAACAGAAACGCTAGCTTCTAGCCCGATGTGAAGGGAGCTGACCGGCTGGAGAGCCTGCCCGGGATCTGCAGACGCAAAGAGGACGTGCTGCAGGATCTAATTATTCAGGCTATGGTTTTTTAAAAATACTGACGTCATTTTTAAAAATTATGAATGCCCGCTGGCATTCTTTTTTCCTCTAGAAGTGTAATGAAATCTGTGTTCCCCAAAAAACAGCCCTGATTTTTTTTGACCATGATTTATTCTGAGCCCTGATTTTTTCAACTGTGATGTATTTTGAGTCCCAGGTTTTTAAAAAGTATTTTATGTATTTATTTTTAGAGAGAGGGAAAGGGAGGGAGAATAAGATGGAGAGAAACAGGGGTGTGAGAGAGAAACATCCGTCGGTTGCCTCTCATGTGCCCCCAGCTGGGGACCCGACCAGCAACCCAGGCATGTGCCTCCATCAGGAATTGAACCACTGGCTGGAGCTCAGTCCACTGAGCTACACTAGCCAGGGTTGAGTCCCAGATTTTCTGAGGAAGTTGGGTCATGTCAGAGCTGGAGGAAATGGGAGGGGAAATTTCAGAGGAAAATGAGGGGATGCCAAGCAAGAGGAAGACAGGTGAGACTCTAGGCCACAGCAGTCTCCTTTCTACCTGCGCCGGGCTCTCTCCCTGAGGAAGGACTCCCTGAAAGGTGTTTGGACACTGTCAGGATGCTGAGGAGGGGTTTGGAACGTCATTTCTTTCCCCTGCTGAAATTCTAGGATTCTGGGCTGGTACTAAGTGACTAGTGTGGCCCACATTCTCCACACAAGCAGCCTGGTGGAGAGGACCGGAAGCCAGGGGACCTCAGCAGCGAGCAGCTGCGAGCAGGGCACAAGCCACGGCCCCTCTCGGAGCCTCAGTTTCCTCCTCTATCCAACAGGGAAGAGCGAGGAGAGCAATCTCTCTGTGGCCTCACTCACACAGCGGTTGGGGGAGTCCAGGCGCGATGATGAATGCGCAGCTAAGGCTGATTAATTAATTCTGGTAAAAGGTGGGAATGGAAACGAAAAGACTTCTGCATAGCATAGGCACCATCAACACAATGAAAAAGCAACCTATGGAATAGGAGCAAATATTTGCGAATCATATATCTGATAAGGGGTTAATATCCAATATAGGTAACAAAGAGATAGAACTCAATAGAAAAAAGCCCACAAACAACCCAAATAAAAAAATGGGCAGATATCTGAATAGATGTTTTTCTGAGAAGATGCAGAGATGGCCAACAGGCACATAAAAGGGCTCAACATCTCTGATCATTGGGGAAATGCAAACCAAAGCTGCAGTAGGTCTCAGCTCACACCTGTCAGAATGGCTGTTATCAAAAGGTCAACAAATAAGGTGTCCGGGAAGACGGGAAGACGGGGAGCAAAGGGGACCCTTGCACCTGCCGGTGGGAGTGCACATTGCCGCGGCCACTGTGGAAGGCAGCATGAAGGTTCCTGGAAAGTTTAAAAACAGAACTACCGTAGGACCCGGGAATTTAACTTTGAGGTATTTATCTAAAGAAAAGGAAAACACAAACTCAAAAGCTATCTGCACCCCCATGTTCTCTCCAGCATTGTTCGCACCAGCCAAGACGGGGAGGCAGCCTGCCCACTGGGAGATGCGTCGGTAAGGAAAATGCAGTACGAGTGTACCAGGGAGTGTCCCTCAGTCAACAAGAGGAAGAAAACCCGACCGTACACAACGACACGGGTACGCCTGCTGGGTGTTATGCTGAGGGAAGTAAGTCAGAGAAAGACAAATGTTGTATGAATTCACTTATATGTGGAAGCTGGAAAAAAATGAACCTATAAGATACAGAGAGCAGACTGGTGCCAGAGGTGGGGGTCAGGGGGATGGAAATTGGTGAAGATGGTCAAAAAGTATAAACTCCCAGGTGTTGAGGTGCTGGGGATAGAGTACACAGCACGGCGAGTGTCGTTAATAATCCTAAATTGCATGTGGAAGTTTGCTAAAAGAGTAGATCTTGGAAGTTCTCCCAAGAAAACAATCCTAGCTATTTGTGGTGATAGATGTTAGCTAAATTTATTATGGTCATCATGTCACTACATAGATATCAAGTCATTGTGCTGTATACCTAAGACTAATGCAATGTTCTATATCAATTTTATCTCAGTTTTTAAAAAAGAAAAATAGGTGAGATTGTTATTAACAGCTGAGACCCAGATCTCCCTCTGCTACGCAGGCCTTCTCTCTGTTTTGCTTTTTGTGGCTGCAGCTTTGAGAGCAGGTTGGCCTTGCTGGGGCAGCCTGGGGCAGCCTCCTGACGTCCAGCTTTCCCTGGCCTTGGCAATCTCAGATGGCTGGTGCTTGTGTTATTAGACCAAAGCCTTGGTCTGTCCTCAAAGAGGAGTCCTGGCGTGGCTTGGCAACCAGTGGCCTTGTGAGGCCACGCCCAGCCCTTGGGCATTTGTGGGCTGGGGGGCGGGGCAAGAGAAGCAACACTGGGGTGGAGGGGAGCTGATTCCCCAGCAGGCTGGCGGGGGAAGAGAAGGAAGGAGGCAGGATGTGGGGCAGGTGCAGGGGCACCACGCAGGCCTGGATTGCCCTGCTCCTCAGCACCCATTAATCATTTGCCAGGAGAGAGGCTATAAGGAAGAAGCCGCTGTATTTTGCACACTGCTCCGGGAGCGGTGGGAAGGCAGGCTGAACTGCGAGGCTGTGGGAAAGCCTGGGGAGCCAGCCAGAGACATCTGTACTGCTTCTCGGAGGCGGTGGAGGCACAGGTGCTCAGGCAGCGCTGCTCCCGCAGCATGAGACTCAGATCTAAGTCTGCAGCCCTTGGCTCCGCCCCCGGTCTTGCCCGATCCCATCCCCTCGGTACCTCCCGCCTCTCTGGCCTTATCCCCCTTACTCCACTTAGGGCTCTGCACCAGCCAGTTTGCATTCTCTGCAGTTCCTCCATATGCTCCAGGCTCTTTCTTGCCCTTCTGCCAGAAATGCACATCATGCCAGCATATACACAATGGCCTTTCGTGCTCCTGACAGCCCTCGGGATGGCAGCATTCCCCTTTTACGGCTGAGGAAACTGAGGCCCACAACAAAATAACTTGTCTGAGTTCTCGTGGGTAAGTGGATGACAGGTCCAGATTCACACCAAGCCCACACTTGCCCCTCTCTGCCACACTCCCTCTCTAGCAAATGGCTGAGGGCAGAGCTAGGCAGCCAAGGGGAACAGAACAGAGGGTGCTGTCAACCAGCCTGGCACAGTGAAGAGGCTTGACAAACAGCGGTTGTGTGAATGAATAGGCAGCTCAGGGAGGAAGGCTGTGAGGAAGGCCAGGGCCCAGAGTCTGGGTTTGCCCCGGGAGAGATAGGTGTTTGACTTTGAGCAGGGAACAGCACAGAACTGTGGGCAAGGCCGAGGGACTCCAGCTTGCAAAGGGGCCGGGAGTCCGGACTGTCCACGAACCAGATGGATTCAGGGGTAGATCCGAGGAGGAGATGAAGGAAGAGGTCGAGTCGTCGCTGGCCCAGGCCCAGCACGGCACCCAGGCGCCCAGCCTAGACAGGGACTCAGAGGGTCTCCACCGATGTGCACAGATCGGAGGAGGCCTTTGAGTTGGGTGTTTGGGCAAAGAGCAGTGTCTCTAGGGCACCGAGCCATCTGAGGGGGCGTTACCCTGCAACCACATGGACGAGGGCTGGTCACGGTGCCGGGTCTCTGGGGTGGGGGGGCACAGGTGGTAGCTGGGGTCCGTGCTGGGCAGCTCTCGGGAGACCCACAGATGGCGGAGCCCTGGGATCCACGGAACCCACGGCACGCCCGCGAGGTGGAGATCAGCTGGGAGACAACGCTCAGGCAGAGGGGAGATGGAAAAAGTGATGTCGTTAAGGAACAATGTGGCCAAAGGAATGAGCTGTCGTTTGCTGGATCCAAGAGCACAAAGGGGAAAACGGCGGCCAGAGGCCCAGGGGTGTCTGGTGACGGCCTGACACTGCCCTGTGGGAGGGCCTGAGCCCCAGCCCGGGGGGCCAGAAGGGAGTCACCCCTCAGGCTCCGTGGACCTTCCCTGTCCTCTAATGCCCCCCCGAGCAAACCTTCTGGTGTGTTAATACAGGCTTGCTGAACTGAGTTAGGACAGACCACCTGGCCAGAAGACCCGGCCTGTTTCAACTGAGTGGATCTAAGGAGGCCGTCAAGAGAGGCAGAGGGAAGAGCTCAGGTTCTGGGGTTGGAGTTCTCGGGGGGCCCACCCCCGCCCAGCTGTGTAACCCACCTTCTTCAGGCGGGGCTTGGGAGCTTTAAGTCCAACCAGCATGTTGCAAATACCTTCCCCCTTTCGCTCTGTTTCCTCTCTCCTGGACAAGGGCTGCGGAAGCCACCCCCAGGAAGCCAGCCCGGAGGCTGAACAGATCTGCTGGGAGAAGGGCCCCCTGGGTCTGGCCCGGGGTGGGGGTGGGCGGGCTGTGGGGAGACTGCGCCGATTAGAGGCAGACACTCCACAGAAATGTGTCATTTGAAATGAGTTCCAAGGGCACCTTATGTGTGTGGAGAGGTGTCATTTGGTCTACATTCCCACTTACCAGGCGAGGAAACGGAGGCCCAGAGCGGGTCAGGGTCAAGGGCATGTAACACAATGATGGCGCTCGGGTCTTGAGTTCGAGTGTTATTGCCGGGTGTCCTCATAGGAAGGAGCCCTGCCTGACAAAGAGATGGTGGCGTCCTAGGCGGTGGCCAGGGCACCAGACCGGAGAGAAGGACTCGTCCTGACCTGCGGAACCTGGAGAAACCAGAACCTGCTTTTTTTTACAGTCAGAATTGCTGAGAACCCAACTAGCCCGAGGCTGGACCCCAGCTCACCTCCTACTCTGTGGGCCCAGCGTTCTGCAGAGTTGGGGCGAGGGGTCTCCCCTGGGAGTGTCAGGTTCGTGGGTGCAGGGTCTGGGGGGCTGGGATGCCAAGAGGTGGTCGATCCCCATGAGATTGCCTGGGTGATACAGCAAGACAAGACCTCCGTCTGCCCGCAATGGTGACCCCAGAAACACATGCTCCTGTTTGCCGAGGGACCTGTTTTTGAGCACACCCAGAGCGCGTGTGCTCACACTAGCTCCACTTTTCCGAGGAGGGAGGATGGCTCCTGGCGGCCAACGGGAAAGTGGGGCTCCTGGGTTGTTTCCCACAATGCACTGCACCTTGTGCCTCTTCCTCCCCTCTCTGCACGCACCTCCAGAGCCTCCCCCCGGGTCTGCGGTTCTCCTCGGCTGCCAGGCCAGGCCCCCTGGATCCCTTCGATGGAAGTCCCACTTCGCACCCCCTGTGGCTGAGCCCTTTTGCTCTTGGGCCAGACCAACCTTCGCAGCAAGAGCAGGGAGAGGGATGCAGGAAGGGAAGCCCCACAGACCTGTACAGAGAGGGAAACCGAGGCACAGAGCTGGCCTGAGTCTAGGACAGGGTCCAGGCATGCCTGTCCCTGGGTCCAGCAACAGAGGCCTGGCGCTGTGGGGAAGGCAGCCGGCAGAGAGACACCGCTGTTTTTTTAAGCTCTCAGTGGGACTGAGAACACCAAATCCTCTTTGGAAAAACAGAAAAGGATTTAAAAAATCAAGATATTAACCTTGTGAAACTGGATATGCCCCATGTAGAGATTAACTTCTTTCCTAAGCATTTTTTTCCATTTCTATATATATCTTAGTTCATGCCAGCATCATGGCCAGCCTGGATTATGGATGGATGGAGAGACGACAGCCTCGACTCCATCACACGTGTGCATGCACACACACCTGGAGCAGCAGGAAGAGCATTGGAGGAACCTGAGTTTTCATTCCAGCTCCACTACTGACCCCGGGCCTCAGTCTCCTCATCTCTAAGGGGCGTGGTTGGACCGGCCGTCTTCTAAGACCCCTTCCCAGCACATTCTCTGGAGCAGCTGGGGCCCGCTCCCTTTGCTTATTTTCCTCTTCCTCCCTCACCCCTGCTTCTCAGGGCCCTGCCTGTCCCCCCAGAACTTCTCTGACTCCCGCCAGGCCTGGACAGCAGTGGGTGGGGTGGGGGGAGCATGCATTCTGGCTGGGGGAGGCTGGGGCTGCTTCCGCGGTCGCTTCAGCTTCGCTCCAGAGGCGGTCCGTGTGGAACCCCGCAGGAGGCCTGCACGCACTGCAGCTGCTCCCAGAGTCCACTTCCCCTTCCCCCTTCCCCTTCAGCCCACCCGTCCGGCATCTGAGAACAGGTTGTTCTCAGCCACTGGAAAAGCCAGGGGTTTTATTTTATTTTTTTTAGTTTCAGGTTCCCCTCAGCCTGTCACGTGGTTCCAATCAGAACCCTCATTCCCGTTGCTTTCAGAACCCGGGCCCTGGGACTGGCCTTCAGGCCCCTTGCAAGCCTTCTCCCTGCCCCTCTCCAGGCTGGCTTCGAGGTCTGCTCGCCCTGCCCCTCTGGGCTTTGGGAGCACTTGTTCAGGTCCCCAAACCCACTGTGTTTCTTCTGTCTTGGCCCCCATGGAATATCTATCTCTGTCTGGCTCCTGGCTCTGCCTCACTTACAGCTGCTCCTCTGACGGTCCCTTCCTCCAGGAAGTCCTCCTGGACCCGAGGAGATTAGGCGCCTCATGGTCCTCTCATCCCAACACCACCACCACAAAGAGACCCGCTGTGCCACAAGAACTGGATGTCTGTCTGTCCCACTAGACTGTAAGCTCAGGAGGGCAGGGACAGATCAGTGTGTCTCTTCGGCTCAGTGCCGTCTCGGCAGGACCTCCGTGGTGACTGGGGCTGCAAAGGTCCCGAGGAGCATATGAGTGAATGGCATCTAAAACTGCCCTAAGAGACACCTGAAACCAGCCTCAGCACCGGGCGTCAGATCGGGGCATTGCATTCCCTCAGCCAGCTTCACTCCTCTCTGGGTGGATGGCTGGCCTCCCCTAAAGCTCTCCCCTTTCCCCTCGTGACTCTGCAGATTCTCAAAACCGCAAGTCTCTTTTTAAACTTATCTCTGATCTGCCAACATTCGTGGCCCAATCAATCAGCAGAGCTCAGACCCACGTTTCGGTCCTTCCCGCCTTCTTCTGACACGTCCAGGCATTTCCACGCCTTGATGGCCGCAGCCAGTTGCGATTACTCAGGGGACTGGAGAGGAGGGTAGTTGTGGGCCAGCCCTGAATCGGAGAGGACCAGAAGGGAGATGCTGAGGGTTCTCACTGGCCACGGGGAGGGGTGGGTCACTGCAGCGCCTGGTTCTGGCTGGAGCAGAGGTCATGAGAATCCGTGTTTGTCAGTTTGGTCAATATTCCTCAAGGTTTCTCATGGAACAAGGGTTCCTTGAGATATTCTACAAAAGAAAGGCTCCTGGGCTCATAGGCATTTAGGAAACTCTGAGCATCCCTCAGAGTTAGTTATTTACAAGCATCAGAAGCCGAGTCTGCTGACTTAGCTCATAAGGGATTTATTCAACTACAGAATCTCCTGTAGGTCAGAAAGACAAGGGCAGGGGCAAAGCAACCAGGATCAATGCCCAAGGCCATATCGTAGGACAGACGTCAGGAAGGCCCCACTGCTGCCACCACTGGGCACAGGCATGTTAGCTTGTGCCACCAGCTGCACCAGCACTGGGTGTAGCCCATGGAAACAGATGGCAGCTGCCACCACCACCCCCTCCAGCAGGGCTCTGCACAGCCTCTGCTGCTTCGGATCACACACCGTGAGCTCCGAGCCTGGGGAAGTGCCTCTAGGTGGAGAAGGGAGGTCACATGCCTGCACCCTAGCTCAGGAGAGGCGGGGACGATGCGAAACCGGCCACCCTCAGGTGCTGTATGGGGAGGCAGTGGTTGCTTCGCACCACGGGAAACCCTCACGCGCAGGAAGGGAGAGCAGATGCTGCGTGGCCCCGAAGAATGACAACTGTTCTCTCACCGTGGACCTTACACACTTCCCCTGGGGGCTTGTATGCTCCGGGGTTTCTCACGCCCCGTGCTGCTGACATTCCGGGCCCGACTTCTTTGGGGTGGGGCTGTTCCGTGTGCACTGTAGGGTGTTGAGCAGCCTCCGGGCTGCTAAACCTCTCCGGCTGTGACAGCTAAAAGTGTCTAAATGCGTTGCCAAATGTCCCCTGGGGAGTAAATTTGCCCCCGCTGAGAACCACTGCTCTAAGAGATCTGCAGGGAATTTGTAATATGTTTAAGGATTGATTTAATCTGCTTTCCCAAACTTAGTTGACCATGGAGACACTTTTTTTTCTCTCTTACAACCGTGGACTTCATTTCACAGAACTGACTCTGGGAAATGCTAGGCTGGGAACAGGGGACCTCGTTCTGTGTTTCACGAAGGTAAAGGGTGCACAGGCCAAACGGCACTGCAGGCTTCCCATGGGCGCCGTCCCCGGCTCCCCCGCTGGGGGCCACGGCTGGGCGCCTCGAGGCCCCGCTCTGTGAAAGCCCCGGGGAGTTGCTCGTGGCTCTGGGAAACAGCCCCAGGGCCAGGGGGCGAGTCTGTGGAATGCCACTCAGCTCGTAGAGCCTCTGCTTCTTGACCTGCAGACACGGGCATGGCTCTCGCCACAGGGATACTGTCCCGGGGACAAACCCCCTGCCGCTGACTGCCCACTGCAGCCGCCTGCACAGTTTGACAGAGACCCCACAAGATTCGGGCTCCGGCCCGGTGGGTCTGCAACGCACCGCCCCGGCTCTCCGTCTGTGTCTCACGCCCATTCGCCAGGTCAAGGGGTTATTTCTGCACAAGGGATGCCCGAAGGTCGAGTCTGCCCCAACCCAGGAAACATGCCCACCACTGTGACGTGAGATGAGGGGGTCACAAGCCCCGGGAGGTTGGGGCCACCACCCACTGGCCTTGCCTTTGGGGAGGAGCTATTGGAACAGCTGCTGCTGGGCCGGGAGAAGGAGCGTGGGGAAGCGAGAGGCCTTGGCAACTCAGCGGTCCATGCTGGGGCCTTCCCCTGGGACCTGGCCGCGTCCCCGCAGGGTGGCCCCTCTCCCGCTCACCGCTCCATCAGTGGAGCTGCCTGACGTGGCTCAGGGAGTCTCTCAGGACCTTGGCTCTTGACCTTGGGAAACGGGTGCCGTGGAAATGCAGTGGTGTGGGGGCTAGACGGCCTGCGTTTCATCTTGGCTGCACCGCTTATCAGTGGAGCGACCTTGGACATCTCATTCTTCTCTCTGAACTTCAGTTGCACCGTCCCCGTAGGTTTTTAAAAAGCGTTTTTCTTGCTCCTATGTTCTAGAATTCTATATTTTAGGTGCCGAAAGGTGGTTCCTAGGTGGGGCTCCCTGGAGCCTCTCTGAGAATCTAGGGACCCATGCTCTGGACCCCAGGGTGCATCTTCATGGGGCAGGGGAGATAGCTGGAATGGAAAAAAAAAGGCTTAAAAATGCCTTGGATCCCAACCAGCCAGAGGATGCGCAAATGGAAAATTCCTGCTGAGTGTCAGAGGCCCACCTGGCCTCGGTGACAGCCAGCCCAGCCAGACACGCAAGCCCTGCTGCCTGTTTAGACAGCACTTTCCTGCCCTGGCCAGGGCTCCCCCGGGCCCTCACCAGCGCTCGTCCTCGGAAAGTGGGGAGGGGTGCGGGGGCCCGGGCCAGGCTCAGGAATGCTTCCTGTCTCTCTGCTGCTGAAATAAGAACCGGCGGGCAGGAGGAGGCCTAGGTTCGGCCCAGGCTGCCCTGAACTTGTCTCCGTGACCCAGCAGGAGCCATGTCCCCAGTCCGGGCCCCAGGGCCCTCGTCTGTGCAGTGTGTGGTGAGGGCAGGGGGGCCTGCAGAGGCCTCGCCAGCCCTAGTGTTTGGCCAGAGGAGGAAGGCTGGCCTTCCCTTGAAGATTCCATGTCTGCCCCGGGCCAGGCCAAGCCCTTTTTGTGGACTGCACCTGGGCCCACTCTCCCAGCTGCCCTTGGAGACTCGCGGGCCGAAGGAGTCAGCAAGCGGCTGCCCTGGGACCGATGCTCTCGGTGCCCACCCAGGTGCACTGGGGCGATGCCCGAGAGGCAAGCTCGGGGAGAGTGCAGCGAGAGGCACTGACCCCCTTCAATGACTGGGGGCCGGACAGGGTCGGGGCAGTGAGCCCAGGAGAGGCATGAGGAGCCCTGAGCCACAGGGGCGGTGTTTGCCCAACACCAGCTGGGGGCAAGTCTGGAATCTAGAACTCCCCCGGGGACCAGGCCTCATGCCCTGCTGCAGGCTGGGAAGGTCACTGGGCCTCCCAGGGCCGGGACAGAGTGCCCCTCGGACCTTGCACAAACCCTACATTCTCGGCCTCGACTGTCCAGGGGGTCCAGAGCCAGGCCCTCATTAGGGTTGAACTCATTGGCCGAGGCTGGTCTGTAGGTCCCCAACTCTTGGGAGTTTGATTAGCAAGCTGGCCCCACGGACTGGATTGGTTCTGAGACCCTGACAAGGTCTGGTCTAGGATAATGTGCAATCTACCAGGTTAATGCCACTGGAGAGGCCCCTTGGTCAATGTTACTTGGCCTGCTGGACTCCCACCACCACGCGGCTTCCATGAATCACCTCTTCTTAGCTCAGCTTCCCACCGAGAGAATCCCTCTCAGCGTCTTTTCCCCTCTCCCCTGGTGCCGAGAAGACGTGACACGTGCTGACCCAAGGCCACCGCTGCTTCTGAATCCTGCCCGTCCGCAGCCTACCTCCGCCCAGACCACTCCTCAGGCAAACACTTACAGGAAAGCTCTGCAATGACACTGCACACCAGTCCGGGCAGGGACAACCCTGGCCCGCACAGGCCACTCCGGCCGGTTGCTGCGGCCCATTGAGAGGGGCTCGCAGTCCCCACCCTGGCCCGTCCTTCCTCCCATCCTTCTGCCTAAGGCCAGAGCCCTTCCTCTGAGCGCCCCCAGTCACCCAGAAGGAGTGGTCTTTGTCTCAGCACCAGGTCAGCCCTACTGAGCAGTGTGGCTTAGCGCCAGGGAAGCTGCCCCTCTGGAGGGCGGTTCCAGGACCCCCTCACTCAGGACGCCCCTTCCCCTGCTTCTTGTGCCCCGTTTCCAGACACGCTTTTCCCTCTGCCTTTCCCTACACGCCCCCAGAGATTCAGGCCACCCGGAAGTCTCACCCTGGCCTCCTCCGAGGCTCAGCGTCGACATCACAGGGTGCAGCTCAGAAATCCAAGGGTGCTCCAGGGTGGGTATAGGTGGGAGTGTGGGGTGCACGTGTGTGTGTTTGTGTGTGCATGGGGGGGGGAATTCACATGATCTGGGGATAGGCTTGGTCCCCAGAGAGAGCACACTAGCTTTCCTTTTTTACAAAGGTGCTCAAAGACTCTGCCCCTCCTCCTTCTGAGTCAGCCAGGTCGGGGGAGAGCAGGTCCCTAGAGGGCAGCGGCACCACCTGCCCCCTGTCACGTCACAGACCAGGGCATGGTTTCCAGAGCCCCGAGCTTTCAGCCCTGTCACGGGGCCCTTTCCACCCCGTGCTGCTTGGATACAAAATATCCTTACAGGGCGGGGTGGGGTGGGGGTAGTGGCGGTGGGAGGTGGCTTAATCCTGGGGACCGGTCTGAGCTCAGTGGGGTGTGGGACAACGTTTGGAAGTGGTCATCAGGAGATTCACTTACTTTTCCAGAGCGTTCCTTTGGTCCCACGGCTCAGGATGCACCCTGACTTATGGAGCCAAGATCCCAGCAGTTCTGGGAAGGGCTCTGCTTTCTGCCACTTGAGCTCCCAAGCAGAGGCAGAAGTGGGGGGGCCTCGCGCAGGAATGTTAGGAGTCAGGAGGTCAAGGGGGCAGAGCCGATGGTAGGTCTGAAGCAGAGCCCAAGGATGCTTCCACCTGTCTTGAGCTACAGACCCTCGGGCAAAAGGGTGGGACCCCCCAAGGCCTGCGGGAAGCAGTGTCCTCAAAGCAGGCGGGCTCCCTGGGCCAGCAGCAACTCCTCCTCCCGCTGTGGTGCCAGCTGCTTTCGCTTAGAGACTGAGCTTTTCTGCCACAAAGCACGGCTGGCCGTGTTCACTGAAACCACAGACATGCTGTGTCTGCCATGCACTTGCTCCCATTTAACAGATGGGGAGACCAAGGCCCTAGGTTCAGAGAAGCTAAGGGGTGCGACCGAAGTCTCACAGTCGGAGAGTGCTGGAGTCAGGCTCCAAGCCTACGCCTCCGG